CCTCTAATCGAGGCCATAAAAGCACAAACACGAGATGCAAAGTCCTGTTAGTAAAGCTGCTGTTTGGAAAATCTACATTATAACATTTACATTTAATTCACAGTGGGGAGAAGGGTGGCTGATCATGCCTCTGCAGTAATGGACTGCTAATGAAACATTTACTGCTTGAACTAATATGCAGCGACTCCTGTCTGAACCCAGAATTAAAAGGAAGATTTTCAAATGTGATGTTGGTTCACTGGACTCTGCTGTGATTTATATTATTCATTAATCCACCATCGCTCTGCTATTCTTCCATGCTTCATGAAATAAGACCAGAATTGTTAAATGAATCGAATTTTATTTATGCAGCAGCTGTCTGTTAGTGCTGCAAAATCAGAGTATTTAAAAAAAGTATTTAAAAAGAAATGAAAGTGTTCTGGAAGAACAAGATTTGAGTTGCACAAGCTTAATGTGGGCGAGGAGCAAAGGAAACTGCAGCTGAGAGCATTTTTCAGATTTTCATCTAAATTGTACAGCTTTGAATTGTTACTAGATCGCTTTCATTTTCTGCTTTTTTAGCATTTGGGAAATTACTGGAGCGAGACAGTCAGTTTGGAACTACGGCTACTTTTGCAAAAGCAGACTTTGCTTTGATTCAGAGGAAGACGTGGAGAAGCACAGCTCCTGACAGCTCCTGCAGCGAGTTCTGTAAAACATAAATGTTTAGGGGCAATAAATCATATTTATTATCCCGGTCCCTGGGGTGCAAAGTCATAGAATAATTAACAGCACGCACTTTAGTGCAAAGGGAGCTTCAGCTGTTATATTTCACTGTGAGAAACAAGATACGACACAGATTTCATTAAATCAGAACCAAACATATGCAAACAGAGTTGATCAGTATTAAAGTTTAATTTTAGGTTGTCAGTTCAGTGCAGCATGGTTTAGCATAGTGAATAGTAGACTGTATTATAATTTATATATATTTTTTATTTCTACATAGGGGATGTAGTCTAGTTTAATCAAATTGAGGAATGTTTGTATGTGCACTCGTCTTTCTCACCGGTCTCAACATCTGTTTATCCTGCTCACTTCAGACTCGGCAGGTGTCGTGCTGGATACATGAATATGAACAGCACAAAACTGAAGTTTTTTGGATGATTGGTGTTTTCATTTGCTGTCTGTTCCCTGTTGGAATGACTGGGTGGAGTCAAACTAATTCTGTCATGTGATAATGTCATCAGGTGTGTTGTAGCATTTAATGGTTGGAAGCTTCCAGAGGATGTCACAGAAACACCTGCCAGGGAATTAGAAGATCTGACTGACACAAATGCATAACCAAGAAGAAGCTAAGATTTACTTTATTTATCGCAGATTTGATCAATTATATTATCCACAAA